ACCTGAAATTAAATTTATTTGGGTCTCCTAGGCTAAAATGCACTGCATGTTGGTGGTTATTAGTATAAAAAAATAATATTTATTGAAATCTAATTATATGGCATGCATTATAAATGCATTTAGTATTGCTAATATTAGTGTTATGAACCCCATGTTAAAAATGAGGACATGAGATAAAGTAATTTACCACTACCATACAAATAGGAGGAGTTGAACCAGAATTCACATCTTGGTTTTTCTTATTCCAAAATCTATGCATCTAACTTAGAACACAATCTCTCTTCAGGCCAGGATAGTTATCCCAGTGATATAACTTGGATAAAATGTATATTTATTTTTGGCTTTTAATGTCTGTATGCCAGTTACTATGCTGGTTTGGTGCTTCATCTCTGTTTTTTTTTTTTTTTTGGTGAATGTATCTTGTATATTTGGTTGCCCCTTGGTAGTCATGAATTTGGTGTTAGAAGTACATAGCAGGTAAGCAGAAAGTGATTTGGAGTTAGTCGTCTAGTTTTCACATCAGAAAGTGATTTGTGTTACGTGCCAGCCTGGATGGGAGGAGGGTTTGGGGGAGAATGGACACATTGTATGTGTGGCCGAGTCCTTCACTGCTCACCTGAAACTGGCACATTTTTTAAAATCACAACATTTTTAATGAGCTATACCCCTATAGAAAATGTTTTTAGTGTTAAAAAAAATAAAAATTAAAAAAAGAAAGTGATTTATTCATAGAGTGCAGAATAATTGGATGAGGCATGTTCAGGAAAGAACAGTCCACCTTCCTCAGTGTTAGTAGGTTGCTGCAACCATTTGAGGTATGTTTTAGGCCAAACATTTTGTTGTTGTTCAGTCACTAAGTCGTGTCCAGCTCTTTGCGGTCCATGGACTGTAGCATCACAGACTCCGCTCCTTCACTGTCTCCAAGAGTTTGCTCAGATTCATGTGTATTGAGTTGGTGATGCTATCTAACCATCTCATCCTCTGCCACCCCCTTTTCCCTTTGCCTTCAGTCTTTCCCAGCATCAGGGTCTTTTCCAATGAGTCGACTCTTCGCATCAGGTGGCCAAAGGGTTGGAGCTTCAACTTCAGCATCAGTCCTTCCAATGAATATTCAGGGTTGATTTCCTTTAGGATTGACTGGTTTGATCTCCTTGCCATAGATTTTAATCTATGACTCGATTATGTCTATGGCTAGATTAAAATATAGTTAATAATAGGAATTATTTGTAATATTTAATAGCTTCCACCTGGAAAAAAAACCATGTGTCCATTAACAGTGGAATGAATACATAAAGTGAAATACTTTAAAGAAGTGAAAATGAATAAAGCCCTGCTACACACAATAGCATGGATGAATCTTTTAGACATAATATTGAGCAAAAGCAATACCATATCAAAGACTGTAATTGCCAAAACAAAGTTCAAAAATGGGTAAAATTAATTTATGGTGCTAGAAGTCAGAATTACACTTTTGGGAAAGGCTGTGTGGGAGGCTTTTGGGTACTGTTAATATTTAAGAGCTTGATCTGAATTGTAGTTATGTGGAGGTGGTGCTGGTGATTCAGTCGGCTCAGTTCTGTCTGACTCTGCCAGACTCCTCTGTCCACGGGATTCTCCAGACAAGAATACTGGAGTGGGCTGTCGTTTCCTTCTCCAGGGGATCTTCTCGGGTCAGTGATCGAAACCATGTCTTCTGCTTGACAAGCAGATTCTTTACCATTGAGCCACCTGGGAAGCCCTCTAGGTGGGAGTAGGTATTTGTAAATTTTACAGAACAGAACCATTAATATTGATGGATTGACCACATGATATTTCAATAAAACATTAAAATGGTTAAAACCTAAGTTTTAAAAATAGGAAAATAATAGGGAAAAGTAATATAGTGATATGATTGAATGTTGGATAGCCATTTAATGAAGCTTACTAAAGGTTTTTAAATGATAAGGAAAAATGCTTAGTTTACAATGCTGAGTAGAAAATTAGAGTCCAAGCTTGGCTGCACTATATTATCCCCAGTGTGTAAAACACATGTCTGAAAAATTGGTAGGGAAAAAAACTCATTAAATAATAGAACTGTAGAAATGGGTTGTTTTTCTTCTCTCTACCTCACTACATTGAAAAAATTTCCTGCAATAAATGCTTTTCATAATCAGCTGTTAGTTATGGAGAAAAATGCATATATGGAGGGATTCTTCATCTGTAAATACCCCATTATGTTTCCATTACTTAGACAATAAACAACCCAATTATCTGAGTACCCAATAACTTGGGAAAATTGCTCCAGCCTGACCTTTTAGCCTGAGATTTCCTGACAACCCGAAGCTTCTCAATGCCTCAGCACTTTGGGCTTTACAGGTTTATTTTTTGATTCAACAAGTGGTTTTTAAGCATCAGTTATTTGCCAAGTGCTCTAGGTATATAGCAACATATAAGAAGGGCAATGATTTCTGTCTTAGATTTCCTTCCTTTTACCAGGGAAGACAAAACCTAAGTAGTTGTCCTAAAGATTAAGTTGAAGGAGGAAGAAATCCAAGGTATAAAGGTATATGTAACAAGAAAACCACATCTAGTTTCAGGAGACAGGATTGTTGCTAGAAAAACTATTTTGTTTAAGTGAAGACTGCTAAGATGAGTGTATGTTTGTCTGTTGTGAAAGGATAGGGCACTTGACGGTGAATGGTGGCGAGAACAATGGATTTTGGATCTCAGTGAGACTGAGGGATTGTTCAAGAGTGATGTGGGCAAGGATGGGAGACTGTGAGTCAGAGCTGGATTCTGAGGTGAAGGTTGCAGAAGCCATATGTGATGTGGAACTGAGTTGCTGGGGGTGGGGGGTGGTGGGAAAGATCATTCAAGGTGAGGATGCTGGTGATCTGAGAGCTGGTGTCCAATGGGTTCTACAGGCAGATGGATGCGTCGTGGAGAAAAGAGGGGTGGGGCATTAAAGAAGGAACATCTCTGCTGTTGGTTGCTGTGTGTGCGATTTCCTCTGACTCAACTTCTTAGGCTGTGCATCCTTTAAAGCCCACATAAAACATGACTTAGTCTATCATACCATCCCTATTTACCCAATTGGTTACAAGCCTTCCTTCCTTTGATTTTATAGCATCAAATGTCTCATTGCATGAGTTGGTACTCAATGAACATTTGCTAAATTCAATACTTTCTGTGAGGTATCAATATTAGAAATGGACATGTTGAGCTCAATGAATGCCAGGTGTTTAACCTGGAACTCTGGCTATGTTCCAATAGTCAAGGCACATTGATTTAGCTATTCTGAAAGCAGTTTTGTCTAGAGAATAACAGTTTGTGTTTTTCATTTTGCATGCAGTCACACAGTTTAGGAAAAAAAGTTTCCAATCATTTCTGCTAAGACAAAGCTACGACTTTTTAAGTAGTCACTTAATGTTTGCACTTCTATTCAATGTCTGGCTTGTAGACTCAGTTTTCTGTTGATAAACCTGCAACATCAAATGAGATGCATGTATTCCAGACAGATGCTGCCAGTGTCTGGAGTCAAAACAAATCATATCACTTGCCTGTCACAAAAGAATGCCTTTTCTGTCATTGCGGACCAATCTGTTTAATGACACAATTGCTGGGCTCTGGAGCAGATGACTGTTTCCTTTGTCACTCAGAATTCCTGGGACACTGCAAAGAGAAAAACACTTGCAGCTTGATTGGTGTGTCTTGGTCCCTGAGTGGAGGTGAGGGGAATGACTGTATTTTCCAAAGGGCAGTGGTCTGCTTCTTTTAAGATGGATGGAAGGCTGTTTTCTGTGCTGCAAGTCTTCTTGATGGCTAATTATTTGAAGCCAGAAGATCCCAAGTGCAATTTGAAACAGAGTTCGGGATGAACTCTTGAAACTTTGCCATGTGCAAGATGCTGCTGCATGTTGTGTCTTGGGGTTCCATTAAGAGATGAATAAGAGCCCCCACCTTCCAGGATATCTCAGCAAAGAGACAGCTCACTGATGAGCTGAAGTAGAAAGATGGAATAAAATGATTCCTTTCAACTAGGCTGAAAGACTCACGAGTGAGAGGCATCTGTTTGAATTTTCTGGAATAAATTGAGAAAGCTTCCTGGACAAGGTGTTCTAAGAAACTGGAATCCATCTATTATGCAAGGACCAGGGAAGTTCTCTTCCTAAAGTGCTTAATTTCTGAACCTGACACAGAGAGCATTGGGTGTCTAATTGCAGTACACAGAATGGGTGCTGCCCTCAAATGCCCATTCCATTGTTACAGCCCCAGAAATTCTGATTTAATTGATGTCAGGTAGGGCCCAAGAAACTGCAGTTTAAGAAAACATTATAGTTAATTTCAATGAAAATGGTCCATAAGTCAAACCTTTGATGATCACTGGTATTAAATGCAAAAAAGTAACTGGATTTTGTAAGATGGGTGGTTAATTCCGAGGAAAGAAGAGATATCCTTGGGGAAAATATAATGGAAGAAGAGTACTTAGTACTCTACTCTCAAGCAGGGGTGGTTATCCTGCTCAGATACTGTGTACATCTTATTTGCATGTAATCTGCATAATTAGTGCTCCTTTTTCTTTGAATTTCTGACTGCTCCAAATCCTTTGATTAAAGAAGGGAAGCCAGGGTTGTCCTTCACCTTGAATTTTACCTAAGAACAGATTCATGGTATAGATATTTCTGCTGCTACTCAGAGAATACCTAGGACAGAGAATTCATAACTTCCAGCTTCGCTTCAGTAACTGGAAAGTTTTCAAGGCATTTTAAAATCCGCTTATACGTGTTTTGAGAGACAAAGGGAAACTCCATTTAGTTCTGAGAGTTAGGCGTCTTCCATTGAGCCCACTAGGTGGCGCCCTCTCACCATGTCTGGCCTCCGTGTGGGTGAGTCGGCTTGGGGAGGGTGTATCTAAAAGCGGAGAACCTGGGAGATCCTGTCAGCATTACTAACAGGCTTGTGGGAATTATTCTTAGAACATTAGGAATGACAATATACTGTGCTTTGTTCACTTGTTCCAGTGTCGTCTAAATGCGGGAGGTCACAATATCCTGTTCCAATGTTAGCATCAATTGGCTAAATAGAAAACAGAAGAGCAACCTCGCACAAAAGCAAGGAGGAAAAAGCTGAAAGAAAAAATTAAGACAGAAAAAAAGAGGAAGGAATGAAATGAGGTCTGAGAGAATAAACACACTGTATTGGGAGGTGAGGGGAGAGAAAAGTGGGCAGATGTGGTTATAGGCTCAAAGAAAAGTCTATAATTGATGTCAGGTAGGGCCCAAGAAACTGCAGTTTAAGAAAACATTATAGTTAATTTCAACGAAAATGGTCCATAAGTCAAACCTTTGATGATCACTGGTATTAAATGCAAAAAAGTAACTGGATTTTGTAAGATGGGTGGTTAATTCCGAGGAAAGAAGAGATATCCTTGGGGAAAATATAATGGAAGAAGAGTGCTTAGTACTCTACTCTCAAGCAGGGGTGGTTATCCTGCTCAGATACTGTGTACATCTTATTTGCATGTAATCTGCATAATTAGTGCTCCTTTTTCTTTGAATTTCTGACTGCTCCAAATCCTTTGATTAAAGAAGGGAAGCCAGGGTTGTCCTTCACCTTGAATTTTACCTAAGAACAGATTCATGGTATAGATATTTCTGCTGCTACTCAGAGAATACCTAGGACAGAGAATTCATAACTTCCAGCTTCGCTTCAGTAACTGGAAAGTTTTCAAGGCATTTTAAAATCCGCTTATACGTGTTTTGAGAGACAAAGGGAAACTCCATTTAGTTCTGAGAGTTAGGCGTCTTCCATTGAGCCCACTAGGTGGCGCCCTCTCACCATGTCTGGCCTCCGTGTGGGTGAGTCGGCTTGGGGAGGGTGTATCTAAAAGCGGAGAACCTGGGAGATCCTGTCAGCATTACTAACAGGCTTGTGGGAATTATTCTTAGAACATTAGGAATGACAATATACTGTGCTTTGTTCACTTGTTCCAGTGTCGTCTAAATGCGGGAGGTCACAATATCCTGTTCCAATGTTAGCATCAATTGGCTAAATAGAAAACAGAAGAGCAACCTCGCACAAAAGCAAGGAGGAAAAAGCTGAAAGAAAAAATTAAGACAGAAAAAAAGAGGAAGGAATGAAATGAGGTCTGAGAGAATAAACACACTGTATTGGGAGGTGAGGGGAGAGAAAAGTGGGCAGATGTGGTTATAGGCTCAAAGAAAAGTCTGTCTTGCCCTTTTCCCAAGGTCAGCTGTAAAGGTCAGCTTGGACAGCCCTGGAGAGAACATGGACCGTGACATGCTGGTCCAAGATACGGGGCTTGGCTCAAGAGCCCATGGTAGCCAGGTCGATGGTCATTTTTCTGTTTCCTTCTCACAATCAGCTTGTTGAAAGTCATCCAAATGTCTATGATCCAGTAAAACCATATTAGATTATGAAGCAGTGTAGACTTCTGGTCCTGTAATCTCTGGTGTCTGAATTTGAGGGCAGATGTCTGAGGACCTGGATGAGGCTGGTGCCTGGCACGGTGCCAATGCTGCACCTGTGGTAGGCATGCTTCTCAGCTATTCTGTTTGAACCCTCTCATTGCCACCTGCTCCATGGGTCGCTCTCTGAATTCCCATAGGCTATGGAAACTTGCACACACATCGTGAAGCCATGCTTGTCCATGAGAAGGAGTTTTCTCCAGATTTAGCTTGTATGAAGCAAATAAATGCCTTAAATACAAGAATGAAGGGTAAAGCAAAATCTTTGCTAAAAATGTAGATTTTGCTGATCTGAAATGTTCATCTCGTTTTTTTTTAAATGGAAAACAATTTTTTTCCCCTAAGTTTGTAAAGAATGTGGAACTAACTTTTGAACTCAGGTCCTAAACAAATGTTATTTGAAATAGTAAGCCAGATTATTCAGCTGCACTTTGTAAAGCAGAAGGCCGATTATGCCACATCTGTTTTTCAAAATCCATAGCCTGAAAGATAAAGTTAACTGCTAAGCTAAGTATTCAAAGTTCTCCATCAGCCTTTCCAGCCCTTTGTCTTACTACCCTCCTATATTTCATGTTATTTGTTTTTGTAAAATGTATATCTTATACAGGGTTATCTATATTTTTGAAGATTTTTATGTAAGACAGAGAACATCCCATTCTATCATATCCAGTGTTCATTCAAATCTGGATTTAGGAGCTAATTTTGAGAACCATACAGAGTGATGAAAACCTCACTTAAGGTTCTCCTGAGTAACTATAATGTTTACACAAGGTACAAAGAGGATGGATATCATTGCACATGTCTGAATTTCTCTGTAATAAATCTTAGCTAAAATCCAGTTTCCCCAAGTAAAACTCATCCTTTTAGCTATTAAGCGATCATTGGATAGGCCCCGTTAATAATAAGAGGCGCATGGCTCTGTGTTTCTCTATGATAATAATAGTAATGGATTCTTTCCTTAGGGCTCATCTCAGTTACCTTGCAGCGTGAGGTAACGGTACTTTGGTACCATTGTTTTGGCACTGTTTGGTGACCCTGGAACTTTGATCTGTGTTATATATGATAGGTAGAAATGAAGCTTCTAAAATACATGTACAATTGATGCAATTAAGATGAGTAAGTTGCAGTTTTTAAATTGTCTTTCTCTAGGAAAAGTAAATGGTATATTGAGTTAATCAGACCAAGGAGTACAATTCTTCTACAAGTGTGCACCTTTGAACTGTAAACAGAGGAATTCTGTAGAGGTTGGAGTTGCTGAGCTAGAAGCCCAGGCCAGCCTTTGGGAGGCCAGCCTTTGGTTCTGGTGTTAGAATTGCTGAGGACTCACTTCACAGTCTTGTCTCCTAAAGTAGAATTTCTCTCGCTGTCCCTTGAACAGGAAAAAGAAAATACAGTCTGGATCTAAGGGGTAAATCTAAGTGTTGCCATTTCCCACTTGAAGAGGGCTTTTTACACCAGGAATGAACAATACTCTTATATTGTCCTTCTCTTCATTCTTGAAGGGTTATCACTGAGTACAGAGCTTCTCTCTGTGACTCCCTGCCTCTGGGGCTGTGATGATAGGGTGTCAGAAAAAACATGCAGCGTCACTGGGAGAGGGTTCAACGGTGAGGAAGCCAAGGCACAGAGGAGACGAGACTGATGGAGAGAGTAAGTCAGTGGCTGAAGTGGGATTGGTGATGGTGGTGGTGGTTTAGTCGATAAGTTTTGTCCAATTCTTGGGATTCTGTGGACTATAGCTGTCAGGCTCCTCTGTCCATGGGATTCTCCAGGCAAGAGTACTGGAGTGGGTTGCCATTTTTCTCTCCAGGGGCTCTTCCCAACCCAGGAATCGAACCCGGGTCTCCTGCATTGCAGGCAGATGATTTACCAACTGAGCTATGAGGGAAGCCCAACTGGGATTAGGATCCAGATTACCTAACTGGTTTCCTGAATACCTAATTAATATCCTTTCTGCTCACTACATCCTCCATTAGGTTCACTCATTCAGATATACATTCATTCACACCTTTATTGAGCCAACATTTAATCAAGAAGGATATGGAAAGCTGTTTTGTTTTGTTTTGACTTCTGTGATAAATGCTTATACTTTAGTGTATAGGATCCCATTGAATTGAGTCTTCAGAGATTAGTAATTGAGGCAACTGAAGCCCAGGGAAGTGAAATAATTTGCCCACTTTTCTAGTTAAAGGGTAATACTGATATTAGAATTTAAGTCCAAGTGGAACTAGGGGTAAAGAACCCGCCTACCAATGCAACAAACAAAAAAAGATGCAGGTTCCAGGGCATGGCAACCCATTCCAGAATTCTTGCTTGGGGAATCCCATGGACAGAGGAGCCTGGTGGGTTATACTCCATAGAGTTGCAGAGAGTTGGGTACAACTCACACCCTAAATATAATTTTTTTTCTGCCACATACCATTTTACTCTTCAGTTCAGTTCAGTCCCTCAATCGTGTCCGACTCTTTGTGACTCCATGGACNTAAGCAGGGTGACCTTATACAGCCTTGACATAGTCCTTTCTTGATTTGGAACCAATTTTTTACTCTTACCAGTGCTCAAAACAGTATCAAGGATTGGGAAATGTATAGTATTTATTGTGTATGGATTGAGGTACTTTACACTAGAGCGTTTTCTGCAACGACTTAGAAATGTGAGCTGTGGCTTCGATCATCAGTGAGCTGACATTTAATTTGAGAGAGATGTTGCATACATTAAAATTTAAGTAAAACTGTTAAGTCAAATGTCATTATCAAATTAGTGTATAATATTTAATGGACTGAAGAAATGTTATCAGCCTCACGATGGATGTTCATAGTGACTGATGAGTTAGATTGTGTGTTTGGTGAGTAAGGCATCATTTGTTTCATTTTCAATTTGTTGAGTGATTAACATATATTAGAAGAGTAAATAGACTTGGATTTTCAAATGTAGCAGATGTTTGAAATCCTCTTACCATCTGCAAAACAAGATTTAGAGAGATGCTGCCTATATATTTTTGCATTCTAATTTATGAGAAATTCCCTCTTTCTTTTTAATTTATAGAGATTTTAAGAGATACTTAAAAGCTCGGATAAAGAAGAGTGTTAGTGAAGGGAAATTTTGAAGCTCAGCACATCAAAATTCAGTCTCATGATCTTATTCCTCGCAGTGTGTCTGCTGGCAGTGTTGTCATGTTCAGTGAATGGAACTCAGACTCTCCTGTTATTCCAGAAACCTAGAGATCACTCTTGACTCATGCCTGTTGTTCCTAGCCCATACTTCATCTGACTAATCATGAATTCCTCCACTGCCACCACTTTAATCTAGTTTCTTTCACATAGACTATTGCAAAATACTCCCAACCAGTTGTACCATGGGACTAAATGCCCCCTCTAGTTGATATTTTCCCAGACTGCAGTCAGAGTGACTTTTCAAAATGCATTTCTTGTCCATTTCACCTCACCAACCCTTTAAAATCTTTCAAAAGATTTCTTATTACACAGTTAACAAAGGTATTTTTCTTCCAAAGGTCTATAAAGACAACTTTTTTCCAGTCCTTTTAAAAGATTATCTTATTCTTTATACTCTCACACCATAGAATCTTCCTATATACTCTTCCCCCCACCTCCCCCCCAACCTGGAAAAGTGTTCCATTCTGAGCCCTTGGACTTGAGCTACA